GCAAATGTCTCTGAGGTCTGAGTAAAGATTGATGGCTTCTTCTTCAGAGCATATTGAAGCAAGGCAGTCATCCACATAAAAACTATATGGAATGGTGTCAATCACCTGCTGGCTGAAATATGCTTTGTTGTCCTTTGCATTTCCGCAGGGCGTAGTTAGCACAGCTTGGAGAGGACGTTGCCCCAAACAAATGAACACCCATCCTGTACTCCTGCATGCTCTGATTGAAGTCACGACCGTGCCACCAAAGAAACCTCAAAAGGTGTCAATGGAAAATTGTACTTAGTAGTCAGTATAATCTTTTAATGATATAAGTTTCCATATATGCTTAGAGGTGTGTAATTGATTGTGTAGTGATAGGATGTGTGATCTTTAGTAGGCTTTGTGTGCATTCCAGAGTGTTCTAGCATTCACACCCACATCCTGGGAGCATGGGAAAGGGCATAGCTTCTTTTATTGTTTTATGATAGGATAAACGTACCCTCTTTATGACCAAGGACGTTGCTCCTGCTTTTATTATTTTATGACCCTCTTTGGTCAGCAGGAGGGCACACACACACACACACACACAAATCCACATCCCAATGTAATGAACAAATGTACCCACTGATGTATATAAATAAAGACCAGGGCAGTGGCAGGGCGTGAGTCTCAGAGCCCTCACTTCTGTGCGAGTGCTGTGACTGCCCTTGCTTGCAAGTAACTAACTGCAGTGTGTGCTTCTCCTCTCTGATTCGAAGCTGAAGAAGTGTTATTTAGAATAAATCTCTTGACAAAAGGTCAGCATCTTCCTCTGGCACATGCACCTGGTGAAACATAGCCTCGATGTCAGACATCAAAACAATAGGCTCTTTTCTGAACCTCGTCAGTACGCCAACCAAACCGTTTGTTAAGTCAGGACCACTCAGGAGCTGCGCATTAAGAGAGACACCCTGGAATGATGATGCACAGTCAAAGACGACCCGCATCTTCCCCTTGGTAGGATGGTAAACCCCATGGTGAGGGATATACCAAAGCTTCCCATCACTGCGCTCTAATTCTCTTTGCATATCCTTTAGATATGAGATCTGTCATGAAGGCAGTGTAGTCTTTGTGAAAGTCTTTATCTCTGATGAACCTTTTCTTCAAA